TGTATCTAATAAATCAATGCTGAAAATGAAAATTTGTCTGAAGAAAAAATAAAATTAAGCCTCTTTATAACTAATGGGGTTTTTATGGGTAAAAAATATAAAACTGGATCTTATAAAGCCAAGTTCTATTAAAAACTTATTTAAACAGGAGAAATGGCAATCTAATTATGTAATATTTGGCATGAAAGAACTAATCACAACTTCAGAGAAAAGGAAAAAAAATATTTCTGGAAATCAGAGACCTTCATAATGCAATCAAGTATTTACTAAGTTAGTTCACTTTAACATAATGCTGACATAAATAATTCTTCATAATTTTAACACAAATTCCTCAAAACATTTAACACAGACTGAAGTAAAGCATATTTATGTAATTTAGCAAAAATTACAACTCGATTAGCTGATCTTTGTGTATAATAGTTACCTACAAATAAGTCTCTAAAATGTAAAAACAAAAAGTACTGTCTTATTTACCTTACTCCAATGTATTTACTTGTACATCGGTCATCAAGAATTAATATCAAGTTATAAAATTCCTTTATATATTCAGAAGATATTCCATACCACTGAAAGAGGCAAATAGCCTCATTGTAATTATTCTCAAAAACAAATCCTACATGGCAATTTCCCTTTAGAAATAAATACAAGTTAAAATATGAAGAAAATACCTAAGAAGGATAGTACTAATTTTCAAGTTATATCTTGAAATTTAAACACATCTATTATAAAGAAAAACATTTACTATTATCATTGTAATGAACAATCATTATTTAAAGTTCTGTACGAGTAACCATTTCATTTTGTAAAGCAAAGTTAATCTTCTATTTAGTTTCAGTAATATGAAAACACATTATTATGTAAATCAATTCATTAAAACAAAACTTAAACCGTAATTTCCTATTGCAGTGTATGTTGACATTATGCATATTAAAAGGCAGGAAGAGAAATTTTGTTGGAATATGTTAAAACGTAAAACAAGAAAAAAGCTATCTACTAATGGGCAACGTTTTGCTGCCCCTTTTCACAGTGCATTAATAGACAGATTAAAGGCTTTGTCTATATCGCTAAGCAGTTAATATCTAATATAAACCTAAAACTGTATCCACATCTCTGTTGCCAAGAGTATACTCATGCAGTTGTTGCTATAGCAAGAAGCTCCTGAATTTCCAAGACCTTTATATCTTTATAAAATTCAAGGGAGTAAAGAGTTTGGGATAAAATTTAACTTTTAAAATACCTGGCTATAGATTTAAATTTCATCATTTCTATAACTTTTTATTAAGTTGCTGAAAATTAAATAGGTTAAAAATGCTTTTCCCTTTAAAAATACAGAAAATTCTCCTAATGGTTTCTCTGGGCCATCAGAGTACCTTTTCCTAAGTGCCATGCCAATCACTACCTGAAAAATAGTAATATAAAAATGTGGAATAAGATAAATAATTGTCTAAATAAAGAAAATCTCTCTTCAATCTGAACTTTAAAATAAATGCTCCTGTCACATTAAGGTGAGTAACTGGTTTATGCTGAATTGACAGTGACTGGTTAATCCTATTATTCTTCTGACTAGTGAGAAAATTAAAAGGAGAATTAAGATAAGCCAATTTAAGAAACCAAAATTTTCTAGCATAAGTCCATATAATCATTTAATAAAACATGTACTGAGGACTAGCTAAATGAAAGTTGTAAAGTTGAAATATAGCTTCAGCGAAACTCCATATGTTTAAGGACTTGACTAAAATGGAATATATGAAACATTAAAGAATTATTATACTAAAAAAACCCAGATACATAAATGGGCTAACTACGTATTAACATATATGTAAAGGGATGTAGGGGACACCTCCAATGTAATTAAAAAGTAACACATCTCAGCAGGATGGCAAAATAAGGTGAGATTTGAAGGATGGGGACAATTTGGTAGGTACAGAGGACATTCCAGGATTGGAAGCAGCAAAATAAATCATACTTTTAGGAAGCAAGTAACAATAAAAATAGGTTAACAATGAGTTTCTTTGCAAGATAGAATTAACAGTTTGAAACGAAATATCATAATGGTCAGGAAATGGAAGAGCTACTTGGGATTGTAAACTAGTAACTCAGGTCCATACATATTATTATATGTTATGTTTTAGGATCTGATAGCCTAAACTATCCCGCTCTGAAGTCTACTGCGTCACATGTATTCAGTAAACAAAAGGTCATATCCATTGTCAGTTACTGTCACTGGTGTGAGTTGTAGGAGCTTACTCTGAAGTAAACTACATGTTAGGAGATTAGATGATTTAGAAAAGCAGTAGATAGTAGAGATTACAGTAAACACGAAGAGTGGCAGAACAGGACACTTCAAAATTCACCACTTTCCTGTAAGGATTTTGAACTGAAATCAGTTGAGAAAAAGCAGATACAAGAAAAGCTCTCTGGCTTCCCCAAACTGCCTAAAAGCAGCATATAAATTTATGAAGGTGTCCCTCCTCCACCCTGTATCAGGAAGGACAAAGGTAAATTCCTACATATAACTTTAGACCCTTATCAATAGAGGGAAGTCACCTGTGACTTAATTCTGTACAATAAATCTTACTTTTACTTACTTTGCTTTTTCTGGTCACTTCCACTTAAGTGGCCTCCCCTCCACACATTTTTTTTCTACTTTTAGCTGAAGATGGTATTTGAGCTTGAACTCTAAGTCACCTCTGAGTGTTACTGATTCTTTCCCTGAATATCTCCCTTGTATACAGGAAATATATACGTTAAGAAATTTGTTTTTCTCTTAGCCAAAAACTCAAGAGAAAAACTATTTTTTCTTCCTCTATACAAATTAACACATTTCATAAGAATGTTGATTAATTTTCCACATACTTTAACAAACCAAACAATAATAAAAGGCAATACTTAATGCTTTTTCTACCTAAGGAATATTCTTTTAAAAGAATATTAAAAGACAGTAATGAAAAATTTATAAGATTTTCTAAATTTACACTTTTAAGTAAGTAACAGAAACATAATAGTGGATCAAATCTTTCTGTCAGGACCTTATTTAACAAGAAAAGATCAGTGAGTGACAACAACTGATAAGCATCTGACACCATGACTTTTTAGGTTTTACTGATGTCATGATAAAAGACCAAAAAAATACAAAATAAGTAGGTTAGATAGTGCTGTAAAGAAAAAATAAAACGGGAAAGGGGCAGAGTTTGGGTATCAGGAGGAGAGGAAAAGACAACATTTTCTAGTAGGGCTGTTGGAAAGACAGGCATGATAATTATTTCCCATTATTTTCCTATAATTCAATGTGAATACTAAAAACACTCAATTACCCCTCTAAGTCGTGAAAGATCTCAAAAATATATACAAATGACAAAACCCATGTCTACATGACTATAGCAGCTGATCATCCAAAGAGTCTTAACTCTGATTTCTATCATTGCCATCCAAAGAGAAATCTGAAAATGTTCACAAAGATTTGAGACCAAACTGATCATTACCTAACGCTGGCAACTAGCAACCAGTCCTTAAAACCTGATTTGGCAGTCAGGAAATGGACAATGAATGTGAATTATTTCCCAATGTACAGAATTCACAAAGAAGTTCAAAGAAAGTCACAGTGTAGGAAGAAGAAATAAGTAACTTGTTAGCTTTAATAATAAAGGTATTTGAAGCTCTTTAAGCAATGAAGAATAACCTCAAACTTATGTTATAATCTATATTTACAGAGTTACAGATGATTTATAACATTATTTTTGCTAGATGAAAATTTCATTCAGAACTACAATTTTAGGAATTAAGAATTTATTTTTTAAAAATTAAGAATTTATTATTCTAGGTGATTGTAGTAACATAGTTATGATTTTCAAAGACCTTGTCTTTTAGGAATACCTACTAAAGTATCTATGTATGAAATGAAATGATATTGAACACTTACTTTAGAAGCATCTGACAAAAGGTAAAGAGAACTGAGAAGAATAAATGAAACAAGTAATGGTTATAAGCTAGTAATTGTTTGGTAACCAGTACACGAGGGCCATCATTACATTATTTTCTCAATATCTGTATGTTTTCCAAATAAAAAAGTTTAAACAGTTAATCTTCACCAACCTCATAAATATTAAGCCTCAAAAACAGCTGATCTGTTTTTTTCCAAGTTGATCTATTAAAATATATCAATTTCACCAAAACCTAAAGTTACAAAATAAGTAAATTCAGTAGCAGTTACTAATGTGAACTTTGCTACTAATTTAACTGCACATAAATTTCACTTTTAATTTGTGGCAAATACTTCTTAGCATTCTAATATAATGACTGCTAGTGTTTTTTTTTTTTCTTTCAAGATTTTATTTATTTATTCATGAGAGACACAGAGAGAGAAAGAGGCAGCGACACAGGCAGAGGGAGTAGCAGGCTCCATGCAGGGAGCCTAATGTGGGACTTGATCCTGGGACTCCAGGATCATGCCCTGGGCCGAAGGCAGGCGCTAAACCACTGAGCCACCCAGGGATCCCCAACTACCAGGGTTCTTAATGATTTTTTAATTAACTTCTTCTTAACTAAATTTACCATTGATGGAAAACCAACTACAAACTGTTCCTATTTCCTAATCTAGCATTACATATTATTGCCATAGCAATAAGTAAAGGTGAAAAACGTAGGTTACGAATGTCTATTTGATAAGGTAGGTACACTAATTTTCTTAAAGAGTAAAGCAGTCCTCACCCTAAAAAAATATATTGTATATATGTGCATGTGTGTATGCATATAGCAGAGGTATTAGAAGAGAAAGAACAAGACTTTATATAAGAATCAGAAATTATGTGTAGTATTTAATGAGAAAAGATTTTATTTATAAATGTAAACACGATTAAAAGGGTGCCTGACTGGCTCAGTCAGTAGAGTATATGACTCTCAATCTCAGAGTCCTAAATTTGGGCCCCATGTTATGTGTGAAGATTATGTAAAAATACATAGGATTAAAGCTCAAAATATGAATGCTTAGAACATGCACTTACCACTTGTCCATTGTGTGGATTCTTATGAGCATATGGAGGTCCACGGATATGATTCCACATCTGGCCAGAAGTCATAGCAAAGACTATACACTGAAAAACAGGGTGCAATGTTAGATATATAAATCAAAGAGTAGCAGAATACTGCAATAATGTTACTAAATTTGATGAAATAATTCATCAAAATAATGATGAAACTAAATTTAAAAAATCATGTATCACTTCAGCCATTAGAATAATTTATCACTAACTATGTGGCTTTGAGAATTCATCCTAAATGAGAGAATAAGATAAAGCCATTGCCAGAGATAGAAGTAACAGGTCTGATAGAAAATTTAAAGCAATATCCTAAGGATATTCACTGGGCTTGAGAAAAGAAGACATCAGGGAGACCCTTACCACCACAGAGATAAATCAGTTATAAAAGAATCCATCAGGGGATCCCTGGGTGGCTCAGCGGTTTAGCGCCTGCCTTTGGCCCAGGGTGCGGTCCTGGAGTCCCAGGATGAGTCCCGCATCAGGCTCCCGGCACGGAGCCTGCTTCTCCCTCCTCCTGTGTCTCTGCCTTTCTCTCTCTCTGTGTCTATCATGAATGAATGAATGAATGAATGAATGAATGAATGAATACCAAAAAAAAATTAAGAAAAAAAAGAATCCATCAAAGATGAAGAATACAATGAATGAGACTAGAAACAGATTTGATGCAATGAACAGCAGGCTAGAAGAAGCAGAGGAGCAAATTAGTGATGTAGAAGAGAAAATGAAGCCAAACAAACGAGATAAAGTTAATTTTGGAACATGAAGGAACTCAGGGACTCCATTACATGAAATAATATTCATATTATAGGAATCCTAGAAGAAGAAGAGAGAGAAAAGGGAGTAGAATATTTCACCAATCTGGGGAAGGAAAAAGATATCCAGATCCAAGAGGCACAGAGAATTCCCCACCAAAATCACCAAATGCAGGCCTACACCAAGACATACTGATAAAGAACAAATCTTAAGAGCAACGAGACAAAAGACGTCCTTAACTTTTAAGGAAAGACCCATAAAGCTAGCTAAAGACTTCTCAACGGATATTTCATGTGTCTCCCTTCTGGCCTGCATATAATCAACATCCTAATGGGAAAAATCCTCAGCCAAGAATACACTATCCAGTAAGGCTATTATTCAGAATAGAAGGAGAGATAAGGAGTTTCCCAAACAAAAACTAAAGGAGTTCATTTCCATTACATCACCCTACAAGTTACATTAAAGGGGACTTTTTGGCTGGAAAGACCAAAAGCGACAAAGACAAGAAAGGATCAGAGAAATCTCCAGAAATGACAAATATGTATGTATATATATATATATATATATATATATATATATATATACTAAATACATATCTATCATTAGTTACTTTAATGGACTAAAAATTAAAAAAACACAGGGTGTCAAAACGGATTGGAAAATGGATCCAAAGACCATCCAAAATAGATCCAAGACCCATCTCTATGCTACCTATAAGAGATTCATTTTGGATCTAAAGACACCTACAGATTGCAAGTGAGGGGATGGAGAAACATTTACGATACAAATGGATGTTAAAAGAAAGTTGGAGTATGAATACTTCTATCAGACAAAATACACTAAAGTGACAATGACTATAAAAAGAAGATAAAGAATGGCACTATATCATAATAAAGGGATAATACAACAAGAGGATATGGTTAATTCTAAATATTATGCTCCCAATCTCAGAGCACCCAAATATATGAACAATAAAAATCAATAAAATTGATAAACCTTCAGCCAGACTTACCAAAAAGAAAGGATCTAAATAAATAAAATCACAAATGATAGAGGAGAAACATACAAATATAAGAGAATATTATGAAAAACTATATGCCAACAACTTGGACAACCTGGAAGAAATGGATAAATTCCTAGAAACTACCAAAACTGAAATAAGAATAGGAAAGCCCCAATAAAAAAAAAAGTCCAGGACCAGATGACTACACAGGTGAATTCTACCAAATATTTCAAGAAGAATTAATACCCATTCTTCTCAAACTATTACAAAAATTTCAGAAAATTTCTAAAGTCATTCCATGAGGCAGGTTATTACCCTGATACCAAAACCAGATAAAGACCACACTAAAAAAGAAAGGTGTCTGGGTGGCTCAGTTGGTTAAGCATCTGACTCTTGATTTCAGCTCAGGTCATGATCTCAGGGTTGTGAGATCGCTCCCTATGTAGGGCTCTATGCTCAGTGCAGAGTCTGCTTGAGATTCTCTCTTCCTCTCTCTCTCTCCTTCTTCCTCTGCCCCTCCTTGCTCACATACTTTCTCTCAAATAATTAATTAAATCCCTTTAAGGCGGGGGGGGGGGGAGTGAAGGGCAGAGAAAGAATCTTAAGCAGTCTCCATCTCACAACTCTGAGATCATGACCTGAGCTGAAATCAAGAGTCAGGCACCCAACCAACTGTGCCACACAGGTGTCCCTATTATATACTTATTCTTAAAGTTAAGCTAGAAGAAAAGAAAAGATGATGAACATCATGAGGAAGAGAAAATACCTTAGTCTAGTACTGTTATTTATCAAAAATAATCTGTATATAAATGGACCCACACAATTCAAACCTGATTTGTTCAAGGTCAACAGTACCTACCTTAATAGAAAGACTAAATATCCTAAATATGTTTTATATAATCCTTTCTATAGTCCGTGTATTTAAAATGTCATATTACAAATAATTTAATGACTTCTAAACTTAATAAACAGGTAGCATAATGAATTATGCATAATGAATACCAGAGGAACAAGAGAGAATCACATGTGTGAGCAAGGAGGGGCAAAATAAACCACAGAGATAGTACCTGTCTAATATTAAAAGTTACATAATTTAGTTCAAATAAATTTGTAAAAGCGTTCGTTCTGAAGTCAGAGCTGCCTTGCAGTTTTGAATAGTCATAGGAAATACACTTCTACTGATACAATACAATGTGCAAATGCCAAAGAACCCTTCAGGAATGTGAAAATTATGTAATAATTTATATTAATATCAAGCTTAAGTTTTTCACAAAACTCACATAATTAAACTGATACAATTTCTTTGAGGCAGAAGGTAATGTGAATCATCTTACAATACAGATTATCAGTGTTAGAAGGCAGAAAACAGCTTCTGTCCTACTAAGATTTACTATGATAATAAAGGTTGGGTTATTAGATTTTTAAGATGATGTTTATCTTTCATGGTTTTAATTGCAGATTCTTAGGATGTTTTTCTTTGCATGTGAAATGAATATAACTACTCATCACACTTATATTTCCACTTTGAAACTACAGCCATCTATGAAGAGCTTTAGGTTGCCATGAAGATCTGTGCTAAGGGCTACAAAACATTTTAACTCATTTTGATATTCTAAGATCAACATTTATTTCTGAATACCATAAACTACATATTTGTATTACACTCCTTAAAGTTATATACCAGTGTAGTTCAATATTTTACCTATTCTACTTTAAACTCATCATAAAACACGTTATGTGGAAGCTCATTATCATCCTTTTTCTTTAGGAGGTAGAGGAAGGGAAAAATTGAGTAAAACCAGTATCAATGCTCAGCTCTCTATAAACAATCATCATCACTTATAAATAGAAATTAATAGCATTTTTTTTCAAGACCAGGTGAACTTATGAATACTCTTTTATCTATTTTTTTTAACTCAGAATCAGGAAGCTCTACTATTTAAATATTCACCCATCTTCTTCTATATAAGGAAACTGCAAACTTTGTCTCTTTCCTACCCTAAAGCACTATGAACAGCTTCCTCTTCCTCTTGTCAGCAAACATTACATTCTCAGCCTATCTGTGAGTGATATACAAAAATATGAATAATGAAAAAGACAAAAAAAAAAAACCAACAGAGCCATAGAATACAGTTTATAGAACTAAGGATGTAACACTCAGTAATCCCTTGGGAGGTACTTTTATATAAGTTCAATATACAACTGCTAACTATATACAGATTTGCTCTTTACTAAGAAATGGGTATGTGGATAGAGCTTCTTTAACAAACTTTTTCTCATTCTCATTTTGTATACAATTTTTGGTACTACAGAAGTGCTCTGCTCTATTTTTATTTTAGAAACTTTCCTTTTCTGTGCAATCTGAGGCTTTCATCAGTTTCCACAAATCAGATATTTTGCCAAAAATTAATAAAAAGCATTCTCTTTCCCAAAGGAAAATGGGACACCAGTTCTTTTATACAGACAAATGTCAGAATCTGAATAAATGGATTAGCATTTTGGGTAGCCTCTTAACTTTATAAGGATATCTTAAGAAATGGATAAGATTAAATGAATAAGCCAATTTTTTCACTTCAAACGCCTTTCTTAAGTAGAGTGAAATTTTGTGGTAGTGGTGGCTGTTAGGCAGAATATGGTAAAGAAGAGTCAAATTAGTTTCCATAAGCTATCAACAGCTAAGGAAAAGACCACAGTTTGTATTTTCTATATTAATGAAAAACAGAAGGAGAAAAGTTTCAAGAGGAGCTTTTCTTAAGTCAACATTTTATCATCAGAGTAGAGCTTTAAAACATATTGTTTGAAAATATGTCTGTTCTCTGCAGCCTGTTATTGACTTCTAAAAGGCTGCCATTGGGGAACATGCATACTTGCCAAGATTTCCTTCTCAAGTATGTGTTTGTGAATGTTAGAATATTTTCTGCTATGCCAAGGTAATTAGCTTCCAAGGATTCAAAGCAGAAATACAAAATCTGCATGATGTAGCACAGGATATAAGAAAATTGATCTGTTCAAGTATTTAACATTTAAATGTACCATATAAATATTCTTAGGCATTTATTTGCAGTCATAATGGCTCACTAGATCCACTGGTTTAAACATCCAATGTATGAGATACGTGCCCAGATTTAGAAAAGCCCAGCATCATGGAAAGAATACCGACCTTGAAGTCAGACACATGGGATCAAGTCCTAGTTAGTCATTTTCTAGCTGTGTGAGCTGAGTAAACTGTATTTGCTGAATCTTAATTTCCTTATTTATAAAAAGAGGATGATACAAATTCCTTTTCATTATTATTATA